GGAGGGTGAGAACGTGGGGCTTCTGAGGCTTGTTTCCCACACTCTTCGCACCCCACCAGCACATACCCCTGGAAAGGCAAACACATCTCTCACCCAGCAGCTCAGTCACTCCTGGTCAGACTCCACCCTCCACCTCACAGGAGGCAAGAACATCAGACACTGGACCAGCTCCACGCCAAGCCACTGTGGGGTGCCGAGGGAGTCACCATACCTCTCTAGTCACTTGATGCCAGGGGAGACTTCCTGCCCCAACTCTAGTCCTCAGAACGGAGAGCCCTGGGGGTTTGGGGAATGCCTAGGAGAGCAGCTGTTAGTTGAGGTTTTGCCGAAGATCTAGGTAGCTGAGGCCCTGAGGCAGGGGGAACTGGTACATGGGAGGCAAGGGCTTCAGAGACTGACCCAGAGAGGGCAGGCAAGTGGTCTCCGGTCACAAGGCAAAAGTTGACCATTCATTGCCTGTTCTGGCCCAGCTCCCAGCCGGTCCTGCCACCCTGGGTCTCCAGGCTCTTGGCTGAACCAAAAAGAAGCTGCAGCGCCCCATGACAGTCACCACCAGTTAGAGAGAAATGGCTAAGCCTGGTGCCATGGGTGAGCTGGAGCTCTCTAGTACACAAAGGCTGGCTCCAGAAGCTTCATAGCAAGGGCATCCTGCCCCTTCCCTCTCCTTCTGGCTTCTCCCTGCTGCCCTCTTCCAGCCTGGCACAGGGACAAAGTTCTGTAAACACACACAGGCCTGTGGGCCTGAAGACCACCAAGTTCCAAGCAGGGCAGAGGGTGGTCCAACACCTTACCCCAGGATGGACCTGCTTTCCTCCTCCCACATCCTGGGGAAGCCTTGGCCACAGGAGGCCCACTGTTGCTCTCTGGCCGGACATTTCTTTCCTTCAAATAGTTTATCCTGGTGTGGTTATCTATTAAATTATGTCAACTCCATGAGGGCAGGGTCCGGCCGGTTTGCCTCTGTATCACCTTGGCACAGTGCCTGGCATATAAATGCTTCTGTGTGCCAGGTACTGTTCTAAGTGTCCATGTGTATTGACCCAATGCCCCATGTGGGAGGTAGTATCTCCTTTCAGAAATGAGAAAACCAAGGCCCTGCAAGATTAAGTACTTTGACCGCCATGCCACAGCTGGAAGAAGAGGGGACAACACTCAAAGAGGTGGCATGGGCATTGAATCTGTGCTCTTAACCCCTTCCTTGTGCTGTCCTGTCTCTCTCACTTGAATCACGTGAAGGGTTACTTATAGACCCTTGCATTCTACAGGGGTTACAAGTGGCAGGGGATACTGGAAAGGGAACTAATCTGGGCACCCGATGGACCTGGACTCAATCCTGACTCACCCACTTGCTGCCTGTATAACCCACAGCACGCCCTCCCTTCTCAGAGCCTGTCTCCTCATCTGCTAAATAGGGATAATAATGTCTATTTCACACAGTTGTGGTGAAGAATAAATAATAGATCTGAGAGGGTCTGGCACAGTGCCTGGGACACGAGTTAGTACAGGAGTCCCTGTCCTCGTGTGCTGGACTCTTAAACAGAGCAGCCCAAAGCTGCCATGACAAGGGTGGCAGCAGAGGGGTAGCTTTGGTGGCCTAACTTCTCTCCTGGGCCCTGGGGCACCTGCCACCCAGGGCAGAGACCTGCTGTGTGCCAGGCCCCTGCCTTGGATGCACTGAGAATAGTTGCTGCAGGCAGGACAGCAGGCCTTTACTCTTCTCTCCACTTACTGCTACTGCCCCCCCACTCCTGTCCTATGTCCCTGGCCTCAGTGCCACAGCTCCATCCACCAGTTCCATCCACGAGGATGGGAAGGGCTGGGGTGGTGGGGGTGATGGCAGGAATCCCACAAAGGCACCAACCTATACTAAAGGGAACAGAGCAGCAGGGACAGCCTGAGCCCCTGGCACAGATCCAGGAGCCACACTGACCTGTTGAGTGACTTTGGGCAAGGCCCCGGGTCTACAGCTGGGCTGGATAATCCCTGGGGTCCCTGTCAGGTGGCTGTGCCCTTTCACAGTGGCCTTCAAGAGTCAACAGCTCCAGGAAGTGATGTCAGGGTGAGAAGGTGGGGTTGTTGGGAGGTGGCAGGGAGGCCCAGAGAGTAAGAGGAGATATTTTGAGAGCAGGCAGGTCCCCCAACGTCACTACTGGACAATGGTCTGGGGCTGGGAGTGGAAAATCCTGCTCTTATGTGGGCTGAAAATAGCACAAGGCAGGAGGGTCAGGAACCTCACCCACTAGGTGAAGGCCTGAGCACTGAACAGAAAGGCCAGATGTCCACATTGAGGGGTCAGGCAATCTGACTAGGGTCCAGGAGCAGGACCCTGGCCTGTCCCTGGTTCCCTTAGGGTCTCCATTCCCCACCTCCACCAGTGTCTGCTACTGGATTAGAAGGTCAATAAGGCCCTCCTTTCCCCTAGGTCCTATGTCTTTGGAAACGTGCAGGCAGCTACTCAAGGAAGGCTTCCTGGGGCTATGCCATAGTGTCAGCTCCATGTGCTGCAGGGCCCTGGGTTCTCAGGGTCTCCAGGGCAGATGCTGGAAGGGTAGGTAGGCAGGACATGAGAGGAATGGGGACAAAGGGAACTTGAGCCTATCGTGGCCACTGCCCTACCCCCAACCACAGATGCATACTCAGGAGCCCCCAAATCATGTTGTGTAACCTCCTGCCTCTGGCCTAAGCAGGGCTGAGGGAATCAGAGCCCAGCATTTATACCCTTGGGTGTAATAATGCCTGGGTAGGGGGTTCCTATAAACTAGAATGGGGTTCAGCCTGAGCAGTGGCTGGTAGGAAAGAGATAGGCTTGGGCCTGCCGGAAAGGCTGGCTCAAGAACATTCTGTAAGTAGTCACAAAAAAGCTCATAGGGACTCTGGTTATATGAACACAAATATAGAACCTAGAATGTGGGAGGTGAGCATTTCACATTACTTTGAGCAGGCCACCCACCACCCACATTGCACAATGCAGAGTAATTGGTTGGGTCATGGCTTGTTGATGGGTGTCTATTGCATGAAGGAGCTGTGAAACTAGACTCTAAATACAGCAACCCCTGGGGGATGCCTCGTTCTGACAGAGTGGGAAGGGTAAAGAAGTCACAGGAGACAGGAAGAAGTGGGGTGGAGGGAAGAATCTTCTCTCAGGCAGAATGGGCCTATAGGGAGAGGGAGTACGTTTTTATGTTTGAGATTAAAAATGAAACCTGTCAGGGGTGCCTGGGTGGCTCAGTCAGTTGAGTGTCTGACTTGGGCTCAGGCCATGATCCCGTGGTTCATGAGTTCGAGCCCCATGTTGGGCTCGCTACCGTCAGTGCAGAGCCTGCTTCGGATCCTCTGTCCACCCCCCTCTGCCCCTCCCCTGCTTGTGCTCTCTCAAAACTAAATAAAATATTTTTTAAAAAAAGAGAGAGACCTTTGCCCTAAGGCTGAGCGAGGCCCTGTCCAGCTCAGCTCCATAAACCTCTGCAGTGGTCCTGGCTGGACCTAGAATCTGTCACAGGCAAGAAAGATCTACCTCACCCTGACCCAGTCTGAACCCCAACTATTACACCACATGGCTGGATTTTCCTAGGAGGCAGAAGATGCGACAGGAAGAGAAGTGAATCTCTCCCATATTAGCTCCAGTGCAAAGAAGACCTCAGGTAAAGGCAAGGAAGGAGCCCTGACTTGTTAGCGTGAGCGATCCACCCCCAGCCTCATTCCTGCCTTGAGCCTGAGCACCAGCTGCCTGCCTGCTCCCCGTTCCTGAGTACCCTGTTTTCCTGCCCCGTGTCTCTGCCCAAGATGTACCCTGCACCTGGATATTCTTCCCTGATAAACTGCTTTTCTCAGAAGCTACAGTTCAGGAGTGTCCCCTAGGAAGCCTCTCTGACATGCTCGCTGGTCCACACCTCCAACCACTCAGCATGCCCAGTGGTGCATTGGATGGAGCACCTTGGACCTGCGTGCAAGAGCCAACTGTTAAATTTTCAGGAATTTTGCAAGGAGGCCGATATCACATTACTAGTCTGAAATTGGTCAAGGCAGGAGTATCTGCACCAGGGTAACTGGCAATGCTATACCCCAGGGGGTGTGACTGTTCATAGCCATTAAGCCCTAAACTGGGGGATCCCAAGGACGGGACCCCATCTGACTCCTGTCTGCACCCAGCAGAGCCAGGCACAAAAGCCCGTTAGCTTTAAAGTGAGGGATGACTGGGGTTTGGAGAGGGAATCCCTACGTGAGACTACAACTGAGGCAGCGAGTGGGAAGGCAGGTGGCAGAAGAGTACAGGGTGGAAAAAGGACTCCAGCGTGGATGGTGAGAGCTTCTTAGACTGTATCCTCATCCTCAAACCACACAATAGGGCACAACACAGCAGGCAACAACACTTCAGTAGAAGTTACAGCCTCGAACTGGCTCTCAGGCCAGGGAAGCCTCCAGATGGGTTTATGACATCAGTCCCCAGATGTTACATTCATCTCCTGTGATGGGGATGCTCCTCAGAGGTCTGTCCACTGTGGCATCCAGACCTGCCCTCAGCCCCTCTGTGAGAAGCTCTGGCTCAGCTTGGCTCCTTACCAGGGTCCTCTGGTCAACTGAAACCCCACCCATCCCAAGTAGCTCAGGCCCAGACCATGTGACCTTGGTTAAGTCACTTTCCTCTCCGGGCCTGTTTCTCCATTTGACTTGATCAGGCTGGGCTCCAGCCTAGAAACCTTGCGGGGCACAGCCAGCTAATTATGTGGGAGTCAGGCCAGGAGCAGCACTGGCTCCTTACCCTTGGCTTTCATGAAGCCTTATTCCCCAGCTCACACATACAAATGGTGACTGGGGTTGTAGGGACCTTTAAGATCTCTGGACTATAGAGAACATTCTGCCAAGTGACAGAGCACTGAGGTCATGGCTCCCTTGACCATCAGGCATGAGTCACTAATGGCTCATATCTAGGGAGACTATCCTAGCTGAAGAAATCCTAGTCCCCACAGCCTCCCCGCTCCCCCACCCCATATTAACTTGCACAGGCCCAAGGGGTTCAGGTCCTACAGCCGGATGTCCTTAGTGTTCTCACTACCAGCTGGCGTGGACTCTGTCCGCCTAGAGTCCTCACTGCTGGTTGACACATCTTTTGTCCTCTTGAGGTCAGTTCTGTCCAACCTGTGCAGGCCCCGTCTGCGGTGAGCTGGGGCAGTAGGAGCAGGGTCTGTGGATGGCTTGGCATCCCGGGCAAAGCGCACAAGCCTCTGCCCAGCCAGGAAGTAGAGCACAGGGTCAAGGCAACTGTTGGCACTGGCCAGCGGCCGGGTGATCTTGTAAGCCATGTTGATGGCATTGAGGGTGTGGCAGCTGAGGTCCAGGGAGCGGAAGGAGTAGTAGAGGGTGCGGGTGACATGGAAAGGCAGGAAGCAGAGGGCGAAGACAGCCAGCACCACGGCAATGGTGCGCACCGACTTGCGCTTGGCCCGCGGCAGGCCTCCAGAGGTCCCGTAGGCTGGCTTCAACAGCCGCCGAGCCATAAGCACATAGCAGACTAGGATGATGGCAAAGGGCACTGTGAAGAGCAGGCCCAACATGACAGAGCTGTAGGCCACAAACTGGCTGAAGAGCTCGGGTGCTGAGGTGTCGTGGCAGGTAATGCGGCCACCTCGCACACTGGTGGTGACGAAGTAGAGCACGGGTGACTGGCAGGCCAGCACCAGCACCCACACGGCAGCTGCCACCCGGCGGGCATAGCGGGCCCGGCCCCAGCGCAGCGAGCGCAGTGGGCGCAGGACCCCCAGGCATCGGTGCACGCTGATGCACGTGAGGAAGAGGATGCTGCAGTAAAGGTTGGTGTAGAAGAGGAAGCGCACCAGCTTGCAGAGCACTATGCTGAAGGGCCAGTGGTCTCCGCGGGCGTAGTAATAGACCAGCAGTGGCAGGGAGGCTGCGTACAGCGCATCAGACACAGCCAGGTGGAACATGTACGTGGTGGACGCGTTCCAGGTCTTGAGGCGGCACAGGAAGATGTAGAGCGCCACGGCGTTCAGGCACAGCCCCAGCACACACACCACGCCATAGGACACAGGCAGCAGCACGTATTTGAAGTCCTCATTGAAGCGGCACTTGTAGCCCAGCTCGTCCCCATCCCAGGTGTCATTGATGGTGCTGTTCCAGTGGCCCAGGGCTGTGGCCATTGCCCTAAAGGGAAGAGGGTGGATGGGGAGAACAGCTATGAGGGTCACAACCGGGGCTCAGCAGGGAGACCTGACACACCCACCTGACTAGGGCCAGGAGGGGCCCCAAGCACCCACAGATTCCCTCGGTTAAGGTCTGTGCCACCACAATCAAGGCCTTTGCAGCCACCTGACCTTGCTCTCTCCCTGGACCCAGAGGGCTCAGAACCTTGGAACCCTGGAACTTAGAGAATGCATGAGGTCTATGGGTATCAGGGCCACACACCTCTAAAACTTCACAACAGGGGTAAGCACACTACATCCTGAGGGCCAGATGCAGCCCACCAGTCTGTTTCTGTTAAAAAAAAAAAAAAGCTTGATTGGAACACAATCATACCCGTCTTATTTACAAAGAGTTGAATAGTTGTGACAAAGACCATATATTATCCAAAGCCAAAAACAGTTACCACTGGCTTTTTTTTTAAGATTGGCAACCCAGCTCTAGAACCTTGGGAGCACAGAGTTCTAGATGGAGGATCCGAGCTCTAGAATCTGAGGATCTGGGGGCCCCAGAGCAGTGTCATCTCAGATTCACAGAAAAGGGCCTATAAGGCTGGCTGGCTCCACCTCACATGCAGCACTCACTGGCCAGTGGGCAGCCTCTACCTTGCTGGAATTATTAGAAAGCTCTTTCCTTTAGCTCATCTTTCCGCCCTCTGAGAGGCTCTGGCCCTGTGCCTGGGATTTTTGGTATTTGAGGGAGTATTTCCAAGGGTCTTCCTCTTTAGTCATTCATTAATCTCTCAGCAAACAGTTTTTAGGTACTCCTATATTGTGGCACTCTCTGCACTTGTAAACAGCAGTCCTGCTCCCTGGCCTGTGAACTTACCAGATGGGAGAGTGACCCTCCTAAAGATTCCAGGGAAGTTTGGGGCAGAGGTGAGAATGGGAGGGGGACTTCTTTTGTGCAGCAAATTCAGCTTCCCTCATACCTACCCAGCTTCCCTTCACACACCACCACTATCTTGATGGTCTCTTACCTTGTCCCTAGTGGGCACCTAATATGTACCCACAGGGCCTGACTGCCCATAGAGTGAGTACCTGGAGCACAGGGTGTCCATCTTCCTTGTCTCCTTATCCCCACCAATGTGACCACTAAGAGCTCTCTCTCAGAGGGGAGCAGGGGACAGAGAGCCCAGCCTGGAGGGCAAAGATGTGCCCCAAGATCCCAGAGGCAGGCTGGAAATCATAGCAGGTAGGCAGGTTTGGGACAAACACAAAGAATACCTTTCCAACGGTGGGAAGGGGCCAGGGGAGCTGCTATTTTTCAAACCCTGCTACCATGTGTGCTTTATAAATGTCACTTCATTTCATCTTTATAACATGTTTCTGGGAATCAGGTTATCAGGCCCAGTTTTCCAATAAAGAGGCTGAGACACTGATCATTCAAGTAATTTGGTGAAGGACACATGGTTAGGGATGGATGCAATTCATCTGGTGCATCCTACAGTGGAGGGGGCTGTAGGAAGGAGGTAGTGAACTCCTTGTGCTGGGGGTATGCCAGCATCTCTTCTAGCTGCAGAAAGGCTTGTGTCCTGTGTGTAGGTACGTCTGGGAGGACAGAGGGGGCAGATGATGTGTGAGTTCTCTACATTTTAGGTGTCTGGGGCGGTACAGCTCCCTTCATCTTGGAACCTGAGATCCTGAAAGGTTGGGGCTTGGAGATTCTATAGGGCCAGGGATATTTATTCCCTTAGACCGTGAGCTTCCTGCCCAGCCTGGCCTCCCAGTCATAGTTCAGGGCCCCTGCAGTTGAGATTAGGCCCCTTCTCTCTCCACACCCTATCCCTGCACCCCAGAATTGTCCCCATCTCCTATTGTCAGCAGAAGAGCAACCCAGAGCATGCATCTGCCTCCCACTGACACAGGTTCCTCCCCAAGGATCCAGGGCTGCTCCAGGGTGAGAATTCAGGGAGGCTGTGTGGGGCCAAGTGGAGCAGGGGCAGCTGCCCCCCCCATAGGGAATGCCAGGCTGAGCTCTGAGGACGCCCTTGCCCTGAGCCAGGACTGAGGCCCCGACATGCAAGCATCTCCTGCATCCCACCCCTTCTCCATGCAGCCCAGTGTTGCCTCCACCCTTGCTGGCAGAGCCACTGCACCTGCCTCCCTGCCTCTAGCCTCAGTTCCCCCCAGTCCAAGAATGGGGGGAGGGCTCTCCATGAAGGCGAAGTCATTCCCTTGCTCGAAACCCTCTGCCTTCTCAGGAGAAAACCCCACTCCTCCTCAGTCTGGTACTGGATGTTTTCATAACCCAGCCTCTGTGAGCCTCCCCAGCCCCATCCTCTGTGACCAGCAGTGTCCTAAATGCACCCAACACTTTTCCCTCCCAGCCCTAGCTCATGGTGCTCCTTCAACCTGGAATCCATTCACACCCCTCATCTCCACCTGTTAGAATTACAGCTTTTTATCATTCAGCTCAACAAACTCCAGTGATTAAGATCCTGGCCTCTGGAGCTAGACCACCTTTGTTTTCTCATCTGTAAAATGAGGCGATCAATAGAAACTACATCACACAACTGTTGTGAGGATCGAGTAATTTATGTGAAATGTTTGGAGCAGTGCCTGGCACACAGTAGGTACACTGTGGTGGTATGAGCTATAAGGCTCAGCCCAAATGTGGCCTTTTCCTTAAATCTTCAGGAATCTTCAGAAGGTCCTCACTGGAGGCTAGTGTGTGAGTGTGGTGGGCCAGGGGACTGGTGCTAAGGCCCAACCTGGGGCCAGGTCTGGGGACCTTGTGAGGGGAGAGATGTGGAAGGGTTAGGGAGGAAGGCCAGAGAGTCTGGCCCAGAAGGAGTCTGGTGGGGGAGGGGCAGGGTGTCTGGCTCAGGAGTCAGGGGGAGGAGCACGTATGGGGAGAGAGGCACTCATTGTCAGACATGGTAAATGTGGGGTGCCCTGAAGGGGTGTCATGGGATGTGGGGAAGGGCAAAGGCTGGGACCATCCGATCCAGCACTTTGGGAGGTGGGCTGGGAGTTGCTGACTCCCAGCAGCTACAGGAGAAGCATGGAGGCCTGACTGAGACTTAAGAGCTGTGGAGGGGTCATATTCCCTCCCCCTTGGGGACGCTGGCTTGGGGTGTCCAGCTCTGCCACAGAACCCCAGGTGACATCAGGCATATCCTGCCCTCCTGAGGCTCAGACCTCTAATGGGCTGAATCCCCCAGCCTTATAGAATTGGAGCCCTAAATCCCCATGAGATGCCCTGCCCCACACACCCAGCAGGATGCTCTGCTCCTGCCCCAGTGCCTAGGCCTGGAGGGTCTCTCCTTTGGGTCAGGGTCCTCCCCCACCCCCCACCCCTCCAGCCATTGTCAGCATCTCTACACAAAGAGTTTCTTGCTAATAAGCAAGGGGCAAGGGCGGAATCTGTGATGCTGGGGAGAGGGGTGGAGACTTCCCTAAGTTTCTCCTGAGCCTTGGAAGCTGTTCTTTGCACCTGTTTTAAGAAATCCTGGCCTCTACCCTCCCAGGACAGCTGAGGACTCCATTGCTGTGGCTCCCTTCCAGACGGACCCTGCCTGTCCTCTCCCTCCACTGGCTGGCCCATCAACCTGTGAGTACATTTTTCCTGCCCACTCCTTTGCCCCTCCAGCCCCTACTTATGAAGACAGCCCAATCTGCAGCCCTCTCCCTCGGCTCTCTCCTTACCCCCCATATCCTTGGGGTCCTACCCCAGGGTCTCTCACCCTAGAAACAGTTCCCATCTTTGTCCAACACCATTTGTCAGCCCCTCTGTGCCCAGGTCTGGCTGGCTCTACCCCTGTAAGTGCCCTACCAGCCTTCCCTGCCTTTGCTCAGGCTACTCTTTCTGCCTGGACAGCCCTTCCAGAACCCATTCACACCGTACTCCATCATGCCTATCCCTCACCACTCTTCTCAAATGTCACTTCATCTCTGAAGCTCTCCCACTCTACCATCCCAGACACTCCTCACACCCTGTTTGGAATTTATCTTTCCACCCTCTAGAAACCCCAACCATTACAGGTGTTTCTAGAAGCCTCGCTCCACCTGATTCTTTTTTCTGTCCCAATCATCAGTAAGAGGCCTGATCCAAAGCAGGTACGACATGAGTGAGAGAATGAATGAATGAATGAATGAAGCAAGCAAGCAAGCAAGCAAGCACAAGAAGATATGGGAGTCCAGAGAAACTGAGCCTCATGGCAGTTGCCTTCCTTTCCCTTATTCCTCTGAGGGCCTCCCAGAGTTGTCCTGACACTTAAAGATTTCTCAGCTGCTGACCCCAGGTGGCCTCCTAGGGAGCACTCCTGGGGACCAGCTAACCTGGGCCTGCTCCTGCCCTAGTCAGGCCCCTAGACTGCCTCTCAAGAGTCCTGCACTTCTCTGGACAGGCCAGGGAAATGCCAGGAGAGGGGAATTGGACCTAGGCATTCTGTAGGTGGGTCAGCTGGCTGAACCAAGCACATGCTTTTATCTCACTCATCCCTGGCTCAGGTCATAGATCAGTCTGAGTCAGGAACCCCGGGTCCTGGTGCTCCCTACCCCCAATACCTTACTTTGTAGGGGCCAAACCTGAGCTGAACAGCTTCCTTGCAGAAACCCCCCACCCCCCACCTCACTCCTCAGGAAATACTGCCATAGAGGTTAAGCTATTTATTCAAGATCACACTGTCAAGAATTGGAAAAAATGGGCTTGACACTAGGGCTCCCTGGCTCTGAAGCCTGATTTCATGATAGCCTGGGATGAGAAAGCAGGGTGGGGGTCCCCTGGATGGAACCCTGGCTCAGCATATACACATGCACAAGCGAGCCGCCCAGCCAGTGGACCCTGACCTCCCACGCCCATACCTGACCAGCCCTGGCTCTCACAGTCAGGATGCTCAGAGCCCTCTCAGGTTCCTCATTCATGAATGCAGAGGCCTGGACCAGGATGCAGGGAATTCTTCAGGAAACAGGAAAAACAGGTCCTCAGGTCTGGGGCTGCACCCAGCTTCCAGCATTTCTCAGGGCAGACAGTGCTGTGGACTCTGTGGGAGGCGGAAACAGCACGGGCTCTTGAGTTCCAGGTTGCAGGAAGTCAGCCAGGCGGAGCCCTCCCATGCCTGCCTCCTGTGCTTCAACCTTGGTCCAAAAGGCGAAGCACTGGGGTGTTTGTCTGTCCCAGGGGGAGTGCGCTCTGCCCACCCACACACCCCGGCCGTCTACCCTCAGCTCACATGTTCTAGGGATGGTTGTTCCCAGCCTCCTTCCCCAGTCACCCCCTTCCATAGGAGTGGGGCTCTGCTGGGAAAGGTCTCCCCCACATCCTGCAGAGCTGAGCTGAGCCTTCAGTGCTTCTTCCCTCTGTCCTGGTCTGTGCTTCAGTCCCTAGAATCGGAACCAGTCAATACCCTCCTTGCCCGGTATCCACTCAATAGTACTTCTGCCCATACAGTTTTGTTCAAGCTCTGTCTCTCCTTGGAACACACACCCTCCCCTGTCCTACCTCTAATAGTTCCTCCATAGATGTCGTAAACACACATGAACACACAGAGGCATGGACATACACAAATACCCAGATACATGGAGACATACACAGTCACAGATGTATACACAGCATGTATATGCATGCGTGCGTGCGCGCGCACACACACACACAAACACACACACACACACTCTTCTAGATAGGGACTGGAACAGCCTTTAGAAACCCCCTGCACTAAACTCACATTTGGCAGAGGAGGCAACTGAGGCTCTGTCACAAGGCCTCACCATAAGCCAGGGACAGAGCCAAGATTGGAATGCAGGCCTGAATTCTGGCCCTGGCTTTTGTCTTGTCTGGGAGGCCCTCACACACACCAGCCACAAGGTTGCATTCAGGGGATGGTTACGTGGTGGAGGGAGCCCTCTGTATGTGCAAGTCCCAGCATCCTCCAGAACCTCAGACTTATTATAGGGGGAAAAAAGAACATTCCCTTCCTCTTTCCATCCGTTTCATTTCCCTGTAATGGGGTGGTGGGGCGGTGGGGGGTGTCTGAGACAGTTGAAGCCAGGTCTCCAGGCTGGAAGCAAAGTGCAAGCATGGAGGAAGGAAGTGGGAAGAGGAGAGGAGGAGGCTGGCTGCAAGAACAGGACAGGAGGTGTGGCACGGGGGAATGCCCCTAGGCCACTGCTTTCCCAGCCCACCTTGCCCCAGGAGTCTCAGGCTGACATGGGGCAGTGGGCTGGTAGCCATTTGCCAACCTGCTCCAGAGTCCAGTGACGAAAGAGGTTCACCTTTCACCCCATCTTCTCCTTAAGAGGTGCCTTCATTCCACAGACTAAGGTGAAGCACAGCACTTCCTCAAAGCCATTCTCCCATTTCTGAGAAAAATCTCTACCACCCATCCTTCCACACTTCAAAATTCTAATATATCCCTGACAATGTATCTCTCTCCCACCCACGTGTAACCCAATGCTCACCAAACCCTGTCAGTACAACCAGTGCAGTGGCTCAGACATGCCACTCCTCCACCCCATAGCCTCAGGCTTGTGTTTCTCTTCCAGGCCATTGCACAGCCTACTCACTTATCTCCTTGCCTCCACCCCGTCCCTCCTAACCATCTTTCATACTGCAATCACAGGTCTTCCTTAAACACAAACCTGACCATACACTGTTGAGCTCAAAACCCTTCCATGGCTCCCTATTGCCCTCAGGCTAACATCCAAGCTCCTGAGCCTGGTATTCAAGGCCCTGGCTAACCTGGTCCCTGACACCCCTGTAGACAATTCTTCCTCTCTGCCTCCAGTCTCATCTTCCTGTCTCAAGCACAGCAAAAGCAGTCCCATGGTCATATCTTCACTCAGGGACACCCTCCCTTATCTTCAACATATATATTATAGTAAGAGTTGAGTGCTTTCTCTGTGTCAGCCTCCATATTAGTTGGCTTTATAGACCTCTTTTCATTTAAGCCTGAGAAGCTCAGAGAAGCTAAATAATCTCTCCAGGGTCCCAAAGCTAGTAAACTGCAGAGCAGCCTTGATCTGTGTGCCTGCAGGAGCCGTGCCCCTGATCATTACCTCCTACCCTCCACAGACCAGATCCTCTGCTCCGGGAAGCTTCCTGACCAGCCCTCTTTGAGCCCCATGGCTCTGTCTGTCTGGTCAGTTCTCTGCCAGAGGGAACACCCTAGTGGCAGGGCTAGAATCTACTCTTCCTGGTATTTCCTCATGGTGAAACTGCCGTGATGGTTATTGTACCCATTTCACTGTTAAAACAACAACAAACTAAGACCAGAAAGGGTAGCCCCAGATTTCACCCACGGTCACCAGTGAGTTAGGGGCAGACCTCCTGGCCCCTCTGCCTGGCTCCGCCCGAACCCAAGGGCTGAGTCTTTCTCCTTGTAGCCCCAGACTGGTTAACTCAAAGCCATGAGGAAGGGCGAGGCGCAGACTGCAGAATTTCCAGGGTGGCTGGACAACATTCCAGCTTCTCCACCAGGGCAGCTCCAGAATGAATGCGCTACCCATTCACCTGCCTACCTGGCTGGCCCTGTCCAGCCTGGCAGGGGAATGTGATGCATCACCACTCTGGAAACGCTTGCAGCCTGCCTCTGCTGGGGGTGGGGTGCTGTGAGGGGAAACAGAGGTCCTGGACCCAGAACACTATCGATGGGCAGGGGAAGGCACTACGCAGCTGGGAAATCCCAGTTCTGCCATTCCCATCTGTGGCACCTGGACAAGGTCTCAGCTTCATAACCTGAATCTTAATTTCCTTACAATCTAAGAAGGGTATGCACTGCATAAGGTTGTTGAGATAATTAAAGGAGATGATTGACTCATCTTATGAAATAATTTAAAAAGATGATTTCAGCAGGTGGTGAAGGCAGGAAGGATGGGAGTATTCCAGACGAGAGGGGCAGGAAAGCCACAGGAATTATGGGCAAAGTAGTGAGGTCAGAGCCAGACTGACTATAGGTCAAGTGTCCCACCCTGAAGGCCATCCTTAGAAGGGAGGGCAGTTCAGGGAACCCCCCTCCCCAAAAGGAACTAGACCCAACTATACTCTTTAGTTCACTCACCCTTTATAAAGGTTTGCCATATCTATGCCTGTCCCCATACAGGGCACTTAGGGACTCCATGGTGAGTTGGACTCTTCTGTGATCTCATTGTCAAGGTGGTGGGTGTAGAGGTGGATAGGAGAAGACCCAGAAACAGGCAATGATAATTCAGGGTGACCAGGGCTGAAGGAAGCAGAGGCACCAGGGTCGAAGCAGCCAAGAGGGTCCCCAACAGGAATTGGGGGTGGGGTGGTAAGGGAAGGCTTCCTGGAGGAGAGGACACCTGACCTACATTTTGGAAGATGGACAAGAGTCAGGTGAGTGGAAACAGAAGGTGAGTAGGGTGAGCAAAAACCAGAGCAAGAGATCACATAGCATGTCTCAGGAAATGACAGTCATCCCTGTGGCTTGAGGGCAAGTATAGGAAGACAGGAAAGATCCTGGAAGTTATCCTCCACCCTCTCCCAAATGTCCTCCACAGGCCTGAAGGCCAATACGCTTCCAGCCTTGCCTGATATGCTTTCTGCACCACCAACACTGGGGCTGATCTGGGGAAATAGCTGAGAGGGAACCTCAGATGGTATCAGTAGGTGCTGTTGCAGTGTGAAGCCTCTGCAATCTCCTCCAGGAAGGCCCTGGGTTCACTGGTCCCTCTGGGAGGCTCTCACCCGCTAGGAAGTCCCTAGGATCCTGGCTGTGGGGTCCACGCACAGGGAGAACATCTGAGTCCATGAGTCTCAGATCAATCAGGCTGGCCTCCTACCTTACAGATCAGGATACTGAGACTCCTTAAGAGGAAGGGCCTTACTCAAGGTCTGGTGCTCTAATTATATTCAGTGTAGGGTTGAGCACCTTCACCCCCACCCCAGAACAGGGCTCCAAACTACCTGTCCCTCCTCTGACCCAGCACAGTGCAGCCCAGCACAGTGCTATAGAAATACACTGCTAAATGGAACCAGTTCAGAACCACGGTGCCCTGGACTCCACCCTGACCTATCACATCCAAGTGCCTCCAGTCAGACTTGAGAAGAAAGAACCCTGGGTTCAGGCTCCAACTTAGAACCACCCATGCTGTGCAATCTTGATCAAGTCAGCTCCTCTCTCTGAGCTTGGAGTTCTTCATCGATCAGATGGGGAGAATCACCACTACACCAGGCAGCTCCTGAGGAAGGAGTAGGACAAGGGGGCAGGTAGTATTCATGTGGCTAGCAAATCATGCTCTGTCCTGATGTGGGGGCTGCATCTCCCTGTCTTGGCTGAGAGACACAGAAACCCTTCTCAGTAACCAGGCAGAGGGGCAGAAGTCATGGTCAGAGTAGGCAGGGAAGGCTCTTGGAAGTGACTGTGGTCAGGTCGGGAGAGAAGTAGGAAGAGTGTAGCATGGGAAAGAAAAGGAAGAATGGAGAAGCCAAGGTACAAAATAGGATGAAAGTGTAGAATAGGATACAAGTAAGTCTGTCATTCTGAGATTTTCTTACTCTGGGTGCTTCCAGAATTCTCAGTTCATTGGTTCTGACAGTCCAGTTCCAAGAGTTTCTGGTTCTGAGAGTAAATGATAAGTGTTTCTTCAATTCTGCTTGCTGCTTCTCATAGTCTTTGGTTATGAGATTCTCAGAACCACAGGAGTCTGCACTCTCAGAGTAATGTAATCATAGATCACTGTCCCAGGAGCCATAAAGTCTCAGCAGACACTTGTCAGTGCCCCCATGTGCCCCAAATCAGAGACTCAGATCAGACTTGGTCAGGAGCTCCAGTCTAGATGCAGAGAAAGACACAGACATGGACAAAGTCCACTTGGGTGATTAAGCCATGACCAAGGGAAGCCCAGGAGCCACGGAACCCAGAGGAACCCGTAACCGGCCTGAGGAGACAGTCAGGGAAAGCTGCTCAGTGGAGGGGTCATTTGAGTTGGGACTTAATGGAAGATTAGGAGTTTGTCAGATGGACAACAAAGTTAGAAGGGCATTGAAAGCAGAAGAAAGAGCATGTGCAAAGACACAGTGGTGTGATAGTGTGGCCAGGAGGTCATGTGAGGCTGGTATGGAGGGGTGGGTAGCACAGAATGTGTGTGGGCCTGAGGGACTCACCTGAAAAGCCTTGAATGCCAGGCTGAGGTGCTTGGCTTCTAACCTGAGGGTTAGAATGGGGTGCCGTGGCAGGCCTTAAGCAGGTAAGGACATAGTCAGAGTTGACCTTGACAAAGATGGTGCCACATGTAAAGTAGATAGGACAGGGGAGTCTAAAGGGAGGAAGACCAAGGAGGAGACTACACATAAAATGGTCCAGTGAGAGGTGCATCCTTTGGTCCTGGGTTTTATGCGAGTTGGGGAATATCCTCGCTGGCCCACAGCACAGCCGCAGCAAGCCGGGGAAGCTAGGCACTTGCCAGGAAGCCACAGCAACACCAGGAGCCTCCTCTGATGGGGTGGGAGATGAGAGGGTCATGTGGGCTCCAAGAAGCTTGAAGGAGGCCTTCCGTCTATGCTCTAGGGCCCAAGACCTAGACAGGGTGCCAGGGTGGAAGGCCAAAGAGGAAGCAGCTGCCCAGGAGGGCCCAGGCTGCCCACACTCCCATCCGGGACTCTAGCCATTCACCCTGGACCAGAAATATCCAGGATTAGGAGATGCTGTAACCGGAAAGCGGAGGAATGCCTCTGCTCAAGAACCAACTGTAGCTCTCCAGGAAGCAAGCTCCTCCTCTTTCTACACCCATTTCCACAAACCATTCTTTCTCAAACACCCACTGGCACCTTCTCTGTGCCCAACCTGTGCTGGGTGATATGGACAGAGAGACAAAACAGGCTGGCCTAGTACTGCAACTGACATCTAGGATGAGCACAGAGGTCAGGGAAGGCCCCACAGCCTGCTTCCCCCACAAGACCCACTGGCTGGGACAGGCCAGGACTGAGGACCCAAAGGCAGCCAAGAGGAAGGTATAGGCCAAGGGGTGCACCAGCCAGGCCTGCAGAAGACAATTCTGGGAGAAAGAGGGTTTCACAAGGGGAGCCTCCACTTTTTTTTCACCAGAGAAGCCTAGCTGATCTGGTGATCTGGTCCTGTGAGGAATGTGGTTAACCAGGCCACAAGCAAAACCTAAAATCATATTTTCAGGGCAATATTCAAACTTCTTTCACCCTGAAAGCCAGAGGATGGAGCTCTGAAGCTCAGATAGAGCTTCTATCTTAAGTGGAGAGAGGTAAGTTGGGTCAGGTAGGCAGAAGCCCTAGCTTTCACCTCAACTCTGTGATCTTGGGAAGGGAACTCTCTGAGCCTCTATTTCCTCACCTGCAAAATGGGGTTAACAATCCCTCCTTCACAGGGTTGATAGATTTGATAAAATGAGAGACTTCTATAAACTGTTACTAGTAAGCCATCTTTGCAGAGGGGGCACAGGGAAAGGAAGGCAGTCAGTGGCTAAAATGCCAATAACTAGGTCAATCTCTTATTACTGCACCCTTGTTCTAGTATTTTCAAAATGCATTTCTTTAAAAGTCTCTGAGTATCACACTTCTCCCTGTGCATTGCACTCCACAGCTTACAAAGCCCTTTCCTGACCACTGTCTTAAGAATTAAGGCATCACAGTGGGGCACCTCAGGGGCTCAATCAGTTGAGTGTTGGACTTTGGCTCAGGTCATGATCTCACCGTTCCTGGGTTCAAGCCCCACATCAGGCTTCTTACTGTCAGTGCAGAGTTCCACCTCGGATCCTCTGTCCCCTGCCCCTCTCTGCCCTCCTCTGCTCACATTCTCTCTCAAAAATAAACATTTAAAAAAAAAGTGTCATAGCAACCTTGCATTTGAAGAGGCAAGGATCATCAGTTACAATTTAGAGATCGCCAGCTGACAACCTAGAGGGGCACAGGGACCTCTCTAAGGGCTATAGCCAGAAAAGAAGCCAAATCAAAGCACTCACTCATGAGACCTTGGTGATTTCTCATACTTTTAGCTGGACCTTGGAGGATCCAGAAGCCTCAGAGACTGTGCATCCTGGGCAGGAAGAAAATAGGAATGGAGAGGTCGTAGCCTCACTTTGCAGCCCCAGCTTGGCAGACATTTATGAAGGTCACCCACTGTGATCCTCCAACTTCTCTGGCTAGACCCCAGGACAGCCCAAGGCAGGAAGAACAGATTGAGAATTCTTCTGTGCCAGGGCCTCCCCAAACACAGACTCTCAACACAGGACTTTAGTGGTGCTGGCCTCCTTTTAGAGGCTGGCAGGGCAAGAGCTGCCCCCCAAGGTCACCCAGCAAGCTGGGGGAAGAGCTTGGATGAGATCACTTGCAGGACTCCTGGCTCCCACTGGGGGAAGAAAGTCCTAGATGTCCCCAAGTTCCTCAGCAGGAGCATCTAAGGTCTGAGGGAAGTGTTTGGCCAAAGGATCAAGGGCCCAGAATATAAGTAATGCCTGGATGGTTCTAGTGTCACTATCTGACCTCCTTGTATAGCACTACTCAATCCATTCTCCATGCTGCTTTGACCATGAATCTTCCTTGTTCACAAGCCTTCCGTGTCTCCCTATTGCTTTCAGGATGAAATCGAAGTTTTCAGCTTGTACACTCTGGGTCTGGTAGTGCCTCCAGGACACACTGTTCTGACAACCTATGCCACCTGTCTTGATCACTGGATTCTAGTTTCCTCTTCTTTGTGATGACATGGAGCTCCACTGTAGACATGCCTTCCCTGGGGAAGCTGGGGGCAGGGGCAGGGGATAAAGGCTGCTGGTGCTCTCTCAGTTCAGCTCAGCCCTGTGCAGGGTGCTGACAAAAGAGAAATGAGTGACAGCCCGTTTCTGCCCTCCAGGGGGCCCCAGATCTCTGGTGAAGGAAGAAGGAGGCAGAGACCATACATAACAGTCCAAGGTGGAACCAGGGCTGTCAGTCCTGGGACTTTCGAGAGCCAGAAGATGCTCCAGTCCAACTGTGGGAACAAGGAAGGCTTCCCCAATGAGGAGGCATCTGAACTGGGCCCCAAGACTGGGTAATTCTCCAACTGAGGAAGATGAGGGTAGGAGGGCATTTCAGGCAGTGAGCATATAGAATATGCAGTGGGCCAAAAGCAAGAAACTGTCTAGCGTGTGTTGCAGAACTACATGCAATCACTAGAGGGCAAAAGGGTCAGGCAAGAGAGGGGCTGGAGAGGTTGGCAAGAAGCAGTTCTTGGAGGCCTTGAGTCCTAGGCTAAGGGGTTCAGGCTGGGTTTTGTTAGCCCAGGGAGGAGAATAGTTGCTCTTTGGGTTTCAGGAAGTTCCCTCCAGGGATTGGCCCCACCTCCATCGCCAAGCAGTGAGCCTACCCAGGAAAACACTGGTACTTAACATGACCCACATATTAGCAACACAACGGCCCTCAAGTTCCCTATCTTATTCCCCTTTTACAGATGAAACTGCTAAGGCTCAGAGAATGTCACACAGTGGCCAAAGCAGGATTGGAATATAGGTCTGAGTCTCCAGAGAGCTTTTGCGGACCGACCCTGTCTACTTCAAGACTGTCTTTCCCAACCCCTCCGCACACAGATAACTGAGATTTTACCAGGGCCCCACCCTAGCCCTCAAAAGCTCCCCATTATTCCAGCCTAGATCCCCAAACGAACCACGCATCTCAGGCTGTAGGCCCCGGGAAGCTGAGGATGCCATGCTGAAAGACACTGCCACCAGACTCCCAAACTGGCAGTTTTCATCCGCAGATAGGCCTGGCCCTTGGGTCTGGCTCCTGGGGGGAAGTGGAGCAACCAGCCACTGACAGCCCCCAGTTGGGGAGCTGAGGGAGGGCGCCGCTTTCTCCAAACTGACCCTTCGTACAGCACCGCCTGCCAGATTAAAAGTCTCTCGACAGAGGCTTAACTGTTCTTGCAGGCCACTGTCCCAACCCCCACCCCCAGTTTTACCGGGCCCCGGCGGGGTGGGCACCCAGAGTGCCCCTGGGTTGAGAAGGCTCAGCGGGCCTCCAGGGGCTCGCGGGTCTCTGGCGGCGGTCCCACGCCTCGGGGCGCTCACACCAGAGCGCACACACAAACAAGTCCCACAAGTTCGGCTACTCGACCCGCCGGGGCGCACGCACTCACCCACTGATTCTCAGACTTTCCCAAATGCGCCGACACACACTCACCGGGGTGTCCGATCGCGCTCCCGGAGCTCCACGCTCTGGTGGAGACGAAGTTCGACCACGGACCCACCGGCGCACTCCCACACTCCAAGCCGTGCCCCGCTCTGACGGCCACGCGCGCACGGCGCTGCCCGCCCGGTGCCGCGTGCGCAGCCACCGCAGCCGCGGCGCGCCTGCCGACCTCTCTCCTCCTCCAACCCCCCAGGCAACCCGCCCCTCACCTCCGCGGGGCGCTCGGCCGCCGGCAGCTCCGAGGCCGCCGCTCCGGTGCCCGAGCCCGCGTCCTGCCGCCGCCGCCGCCTCCGGGACCCACGTGCCCGGAGCCCCGCCCGCCGCGCCTAGCTCCCTGCCCAGGCCGGGTCAGGCGGGGGCGGGGCGGACTCTGGACAGACCCTGGCACCGCCCGCTCCCTCGCGACCGGACACCGCGCCACCCGCGCTGGGACGCCGAGGGAAACGCGCGCACCACGGGAAGGGGCCTGCGGCGACTGACCTACCGCCTGGCGGGACGGAGGCCACCAGCCTTCCTCACACGAGGTGAGAGCGGGGTTTCCGAGATAGTAAATGTGCAAGGTTTGTCGGATACCTGTGTGGCTTCTGTCGCTGCCCACCGTGGGACGTTTCCGCGAACCTGCGCCCTCTCCTGCCAGGAACCTGCTCAGAGCACCACGCTGAGAACTTGCCTCCCTTGCTTTGGGAGGCCGGGGACGGGGTGCCTGTTGCCCAGAGAGGAGATACAGACATTCAGGGACCTGTGTCTCTCCAGCTCCTGAGGAGAAGAGGGTTGAGGGGAGAGCCTCACCTCACCTATGCCCCCTTACGGGGCAGGATAGTCACTAGAAATTTCCTGAACACCTGGCTCTTTTTCATCCTTCAACTTGAGCTGCTTCCTTTGAGCTGCCTTCTCAGGCTACACACAGCACTCCATTCTCTGCTTTCAACCCCACTCTGATGGCCTTCTCTGGTCAGGGACCTCTATGTCTGTACCTTTTCTAGACTGTGAGCAGCAGAAGGCAGATGGTCGGGTCTGCCTTCTTCCTACAGCCCATGCCAGAGTTCCCAGGTGGTGCTCTATACTTGTTGAATGCTGAATGGATGAATGAATGAATGCCTCCCTCTCTTTCATTCTGGTCTAGGTGTCAGGAATATAGGTTCTGACCCAGCTTCAGCACTGACTCTGGGAGACCTTGACCCCTGTTCCATTCCCTGTCCTGGCTTCCTTTTTTGTGATGTAGAGGCAAACAATCACACTTACCCTCCCACCAACCACTGTCCATCCATGGGAGACTTTGGACAGTGGGTGTCTGGAAAGTACAGAGGAGGCCTCATTTTGTGACCAAGGAGATTGCCCAGGGCCCTGGGGCCTTGGGTTCTGCTGGGCTCCACAACAGCTGACTGAGGCCTGGTTGCTGGCCCCTGGAGGGGCCCAGGAGTGATACTGGCTACAGCTTTGCCAGGAGCAGGGAGCAGAGCAGACATACAGCCCTGTGTGACTGAGCTGCCTCTAGTCCCCCAGGGACCTCTGCCTGGAAGACACAAAGGCCTCTTGTCCATCTTCCCCCACCTATTATCCAAGCTGGTCCACGCAGCTTATAGGTGGCTAGGAATCCTACGACTCCTACCTATAGAGCCCAGGCCTTGGGGGTCCTTGTGTTGGGAAGTCCCCCTAGTCATTGGAGGCCCTAGCCAACACCCCTTTCTCCTCTCTCCCAAGCCTTCAGACTCCTACTGTAACTACTACTAAGTTCAAGGGAAAAAAATTCCTTTGATAGCAACATGAGGACCCAGGGCTCTGTCTCGGTGTCCAGCCGCCTAGAGAGCCAACAGCCCAGAGTCCTGCTGCTGCTCTGGTCTGACTCCCTCACTGTATGGTCAAAGAAACTGCATTCCTAAGACACCAGGGTCTGAGCTACCACAACAAGTGACTTAGTGAGACCTGAGAAACAGAGGAAAGGGACATGTCCTTGAGCCCTACAGCCTTGGTGTCTTGCCTCATCTCTCCTGTGAACTTCAGTTTCCTCTTTTGCAAAATGGTAAAGGTTCTTTTTTGGGTTCTGCCCATTGTCTTGAGCTGCCTGGGTTTGAAGGGTTCGTATTTCCTGTAATGAGGGCTGGAAATCTGGTTCTCTTGACATCTTCCCCTAGCCCTTTCATCGCTGAGCTTGAGAGATCAAATTTCACAGGTTCCAAATCCCCCAGCTGAATCCCCCCCTCCACTTGGGGTGGCCTGAGGAGCCCCCGTCCACTGCAACCTAAGTGCCTTTGTTTTTATCATTGTACTTATTTACATTTCCTGGTGATAGTTTTTCAAGAAAATGTTGATGTTTCCTTGGCTAAAAGATATTAGACACATTGACTCAGCCAGAAAATTGAGGCTCAACAAGCCCTACAACAAGCCCCACACAGGGCCCCCATCTGGAAATATGAAGGGGCATGATAGCAGCCTCCCTGGAACCAAGCAGCCCAGGCAGCCTGGTGGTGAAGACTCAGGCATGTAATGGTCCCCAAGAGGAGGGTAATGGAGACACAGGAGGGAGACGGTTGAGGGGTTCCATTAGCAGCAGCAGGTCAGATGGGAAAGGGCAAGTCCAAGAGCACTTCTCCCCATGCATTAGGAGGCTTCCTGTCTCGCCAACCCTGAGGAGGCACTTGGCTCTCTCAAGACTTCTCATCTTCCCTCTCTCGACTTCTCTCATCTCCCCCGAGAAAACTTTCTGCTCTGAGAATTTGTGCTGGGAGTGAAAGCCCCTGCCATGGTTCAGGCCTCCTTGCTCTGCTGGGATATTTCCAAGTATCCCTCCTTCCAGGGCTAAGGTGGGGTGTCTATCACGCTTCCCAGCCCTCCCCTGCCTCACACCTTCTGTGGCCTCACCACCCTCAAGAGAAAGCCCACCTCTGCAGCCCACCAAGCCAGGCCTTCCCACCTCTCCGCTTCACCTCCTGCCTCTGATCCGGCCACGCTGCAACGCTGGGACCTCACTCGCCCCCTGTGTGCCACTTGCTGCTCCCTCTGTCTGCAGTGCCCCTTCACGCTTCTCTGCCTTTGACCCTTTCTCTCGCCTCGCCCCATTGCTTCTCTAAGGCCCAGCCCAGGAGCCCGTCAGATACCTCCCTCTTGTCACACCACTTACCACACTGTCATCTCCCCCTCTAGTGGGCATCTCTTTGAAGGCAGAGCAAGAGTCCATCCTGTTCACAGTTAAGTGCACAACACCTAGCACTGTCCCTATCACCTGGTCAGCCTTCATGAATATTTGCTAGGTGAGCGAGCAAGAGCTTGATTTAGTAGTGATCACCCTCGAGCTAGTCATCGTGTTAAAGTATCTCATTTAATCTTCACCAGAACCCTGTGAGGTAGGTGTTGTCATGACCATCTTACAAATAGGGAAATTGAGGCTCAGAAAGGGAAAGTAAATGTCCAAAGTCCCAGTGGCCCACAGTGGTGCATCCCCTGGCCCTGGAACTCCCAACCTGCTGGGAAGGAAGGCCCTGCTGAATTCCTTTCCCGGAGTGATGGCTGGAGTAATGACTGAGCCATAGCATTGGGACCCACACTGGTGGCTCAGGTTACATAGGTCTTGCTTGCTCTCTGCATGGCTGCATCAGCCTGGACCATGCTCCCTCGCTCGCCGGGGCCGCAGGGAACTGTGCTCCTCAGGTTTCCAGGCAGGGGCCCTGATGCCAAATGCAAACTAGAAGCTCTGGCTCTTGGCATGCCAGGATGCAGGCACCCAGGGGAGGCAGCCCAGGAGGCAGGAAGCCTGGTCCAGGCCTGGGCCAGCCACCTCTCCATCTCCCCACCAGCAGGACCGGCTACATTATTCATGGGGCCCAGGGCAAAATGAAAATGCCCACCTTGTTCAAAAACTAGTGAGAATTTCAAGATAGGACAGCAAAGCAGTGAATCAAGTACAGGGCCCTTCAAAATGTGGGGCCCTCTGTCACCCTCTTAGAATGCCACAGGCTTTAGCTTTCTCATTTGCCAAATGGGAGAATGACAGCCACCTGGCCAGACAGTAGAGAGGATGAGGTTGGAGATGTAAGTAGGAGGTTCAGAGAAGAGCATGGATATTGGGCAGGGGTCCCTGTGGGCATCATTCGTTGCTTAGGTCTCAGCATTGGGTAGCAGACCAGTTCTTGCCAGGAGTTTGATTCCTCACACAGTATCTTTTTTCATGAACCCAAAGTAAGCCTCAGAGAAGCAAAACAACTTGCTTAAGGTCATCTAGAGATTCAATGGGGGGAACCAAGATTAGAGCCCTGGCTATCTCTCTGCAAAACTGGGGCTTTTTGTGACACAGGAGAGAGAGGGAGGGAAAGAGAGAAGGGCAGGAGGGAGGTGGGGGTGAGGGCTGCTCAGGACAAAGAGGGCCACTGTGCAGACACAAAGGCCTGACCACAGAGGCCCCTGTGTGGGCTGGGCCAAATGGGTAGATAGAAAAGCCCCATGGTGACTAAGGGAGGTACCAGGAGCTGCCTCCCAGCCCCTCCCTGGTTGTGATGGGAAGGAGAGGGTGTGGCATGCAGGAGACAGCAAATGTATCAAGGAGGAGAAACAGACTCAGGGCTAAGCTCTTTACCCCAGCCCCAGGCCTCCAGAGCCAGAAATGCACACCCTATCTTTCCCCGCCTCCTCCTTGACAGCCCTCAGGAATCCCCCAGCTTAAGGAATCCTCCCTCATACCACCCACCACCCTATTTCCCCCATCTCAATGAGAGTGGGGCTCAGACAGCTAACCATCTGACAGTCCCAAACTCACAATCCTGCTCAGTAATTTCTGGCTAATCTCCGTCACCCACAGGAGGATAAAGCGTAAGCCCCTCAGTGTATCATTCAAGGCCCCTTGTGGCCTGTCCCAGTGGCCTTTTCACACTCCCCAATCGCTACTCCTCATTAGCCCTCCACACCCTGGCCAGGAAGGAAGTCCCAGATGTCTCCAAACCAGTTGGTCCTTTCACACACACCCCTGCATTTCTTCATGCTTTTCCTTCTTCCTGGAGTGTTTTTTCCCCTACCTTTTGCTGGCTGAACACTTTTCCCCTCATGAACCAGCTCAGATGCTGCCTCTATCAGGCAGCTTTCCTCAACCTCCACAGTGGGACTTAAACTTCCCTCTGCCACAAATGTTGGATTCACCCATTCTCTTGCAGTGCTTATCCCCCTCTGGCTTTAGCCATAGTTTAGATCCACAAAACCCACATGGAAGAAGGGACATTTGAGCTGGGCCTTAAAGGGCAGGTGGACATCATTAGCAGATGACTGTGATAGGCCAGGAACAAGGACTCAGGAAATCAGGGCGACCAGCCCTCTCACTAACATTTCATCTGAATCAATCTATTTGGTTCCTGAGTTCACATAACAAAGGGTCCATAGTTCAGAATCGCAGGAGTTGAGTGTCCAGGAGTTGGGGGGGAGGCGTTGACAAGGAGCAGACAGACTGCAAGGAGGGCCAAATCAAGACAGGTTTATAGCTCATAATGCAGAATTTTCTTATTTTTATTTTTTTTAATTTTTAAAATGTTTTTATTTCTTTATTTTGAGAGAAAGAAAGAGACAGAACACAAGCTGGGGAGAGGCAGAGAGAGAGGGATACACAGAATCTGAAGCAGGTTCCAGGCTCTGAGCTGTCAGCACAGAGCCGGATAAGGGGCTCAAACTCCTGAATCAGTAGATTATGGCCTGCGCTGAAGTCAGACACTCAACTGAGTGAGCCACCCATGTGCCCCCAGAATTTTTTAAAAATGCACTTGAATTCAGGCGTCTGGGTGGCTCAGTCAGTTAAGTATCTGACCTCCCTATTGTGGGATCGAGCCCTGTTTTGGACTCTGTGCTGGGTGGAGCTTGCTTGGGATTCTCTCTCTCCCTCCCTCTGCTCTTACTCCTCTCTCTCTCAAATAAATAAATAAACTAAAAAACAAAAATGCACCTGAATTTATTTCTAGTTTATAGTAGTTTACTAAGTAATTCATTTCTTTTTTTTTAATTTACCTCTAAGTTAGTTAGCATATAGCGCCATAATGATTTCAGGAGTAGATTCCACTGATTCATCCTCTATGTATAACACCCAGTGCTCATCCCAACAAGTGTCCTCACTAATGCCCCTTACCCATTTAGCCCATCCTGCCACCCACAATCCCTCCAACAACCCTCAGTTTGTTCTCTGTATTTCAGTCTTTTATGTTTTGTCCCCTTCTTTGTTTTTATATTGGTTTTGCTTCCCTTCCCTTACATTCATCTGTTTTGTAACTTAAATTCCTCATATGAGTGAAGTCATATGATATTTGTCTGTCTCTGACTAATTTTGCTTAGCATAATACCCTCTAGTTCCATCCACGTAGTTGCAAATGGCAAGATTTCATTCTTTTTGATTGCCAAGTAATATTCCATTATATATATGTATTACATCTTCTTTAGCCATTTATCCATCGATGGACATTTGGGCTCTTTTCATACTTTGGATCTTATTGATAGTGCTACAATAAACATTGGGGTGTGTGTGTCCCTTCGGAACAGCACACCTGTATCCCTTGGATAAATACCTAGTAGTACAATTGCTGGGTTGTAAAGTAGTTCTATTTTTAATTTTTTTGAGGAACCTCCATACTGTTTTCCAGAGTGGCTGCACTAGTTTGCATTCCTGCCAGCAGTGCAAAAGAGATCCTCTTTTTCTTCATCCTCACCAACATCGATTGTTGCTTGAGTTATTTATTTTAGCCGTTCTGACTGGTGTGAGGTGGTATCTCATTATGGTTTTAATTTGTATTTCCCTAATGATGAGTGATGTTGACCATTTTTTCATATATCTGTTGGCCATCTGGATGCTTTCTTTGGAGAAGTGTCTCTTCATGTCTTTTGCCCATTTCCTCACTGGATTATTTGTTTTTTGGGTGTTGAATTTGATAAGTTCTTTATAGATTTTGGGCATGTCAGATATGTCATTTGTAGGTATCTTCTCCATTCTATCAGTTGCCTTTTAGTTTTGCTGATTGTTTCCTTTGCTGTGCAGAAGCTTTTCATCTTGATGAGGTCCCAGTAGTTCATTTTTGCTTTTGTTTCCCTTGCCTCTGGAAGAGTGCTGAGTAAGGAATTGCTGAGGCCAAGGTCAAAGAGGTTTTTGCCTGCTTTCTCCTCGAGGATTTTGATGACTTTTTGTTTCACATTTAGTCCTTTCATCCATTCAGTTTATTTTTGTGTATGGTGTAAAAAAGTGGTCCAGGTTCATTTTTCTGCATGTTGCTGTCCAGTTTTCCCAGCACCATTTGCTGGAGAGACTGTCTTTATTCCATTGAATATTCTTTCTTGCTGTGTTAAAGATAAGTTGGCCACTAAGTAATTCACTTCTGCATTTATTATTTTCTTTCTCTTAATTCCCTTGGGGTAGCTTTTCTTTTCTTTTTCTACAGTTTTATTGAAGTGAATACTTATTTTGTGTATTGTCATTCTTTTTATTTTATTTATTTTTCTTTGAGAGAGAGAGCATGGCAGGAGAGGGGGCAGAGGGAGAGAGAGAGGCAGACAGAGAGAGTATCTTCGGCAGGCTTCATGCACAGCACAGAGCCTGACAAGGGGCTCAATCAACGACCCTGGGATCATAACCTGAGCCAAAGTCGAGAGTCATACACTCAACCAACAGACCCACCCAGGCACCCTGTCATTCTTTTAAAATAACATAATCATTTATGGCTATGATTTCTCTCTCACTGACTTCTGCTTTGGCTACTTTACATGTTTTTATAGGTAAGTTTTTCTTTATCACCATTTTTAAACAGTTGGTTTTTTTTTAATGTTTTATTTATTCCTAGGAGAGAGAGAGAGAGACAGCGTGAGCAGGAGAGGGAGTCACAGACTCTGAAACAGGCTCCAGGCTCTGAGCCGGCAGTCAGCACAGAGCCCGATGTGGGGCTCGAACCCACGAACCGCAAGATCATGACCTAAGCGAAAGTCATACGCCTAACCGACTAAGCCACCCAGGCGCCCCTGGTAACTACATTTTTAATTTCTCTTTGACCCAATCAAAAGTCTTTTTTTTTAGAGGAATATTTAGGTTTGATTGTTGTTTCTTGTAATTATTTAAACTTGTGTTATGAATTTCTAGTTTCATTTGCAGATATATAGGGGACATTGGTTTGATTAAAGTGTATATTTTATTTATTACAATTTCATTTTATGTGTTCTATGGATTATTTATTTATTTATTTTAAAATTTATTTATTTATTTTGAGGAGGAGGCAGAGAGAGAGGGAATCCCAAGCAGCATGGATGCTCAGCTGGGACCCTGAGGTGAGACTCGATCCTATGAACAGTGATATTATGACCTGAGCTGAAATCAAGAGTTGGACACTTAACCAACTGATCCACCCAGGCGCACACATATATTTTCAAATAAAGTATATCTATATTTATTTTTAGCCTATATAACCTAGTAGGCTGATAATGATGTGTCTCTTTTCTGTCTCTTTTTTAATATCAACCCTTCCTTCTATTTGTAGTTTATCTATCTCGATGCTGTATTATTCAGTACACCATATAAAAGTCTCCCTGGACTGTGGATGCCTCGGTCACTCAGTCCATTGAGTGACCAGCTCTTGATTTCGGTTCAGGTCATGATCCCGGGGTCATGAAAAATAAGTAAATATATGTCTCTCTGGGGCGCCTGGGTGGCTTGGTTGGTGGAATGCACAACTCTTTTTTTTTTTTTGTAATGTGTATTTTTTTTTTTTTTGAGAGAGAAACAGAGACAGATCATGAGCAGGAGAGGGAGACACAGAATCTGAAGCAGGCCCCAGGCTCTGAGCTGTCAGCACAACGACGGACATGGGGCTCGAACCCACAGACCTCGAGATCATGACCTGAGCTGAAGTCAGCCACTTAACTGACTAAACCACCCAGGCATCTCAAGTAGAGTGCACGACTCTTGATCTCGGGATTCTATGTTTGAGTCCCACATTGGGTATAGAGATAACTTAAAAAATAAAAAATCTTAAAAAAGAAAAACAGTCTACCTTGCTATGGATTATATACCTGCTTTATAAATAAAAGCATCTCTCCTCCCATTTAATGCTTTTAGTTGCAATTTTAAAAAAATTTCTTATATCACTATTACCATCCCCTACTTTGCACTTACCTAACCTAATGTATCTTTGTCTGTGTTTTTTAATATAAATTTTGTCATTTATCTTCTTAATTTAAAATCTGAATGAGTAATACATTTACATGCTTCAAAAATTAAAATTATAGGAGGGGTGCATGGGTGGCTCAGTCCGTTAAGTGTCTGACTCTGGATTTCAGCTCAGGTCCTGATCTCACAGTTCATGGATTCAAGCCCCACATTGGGCTCTGCACTGGTAGTATGAAGCCTGCTTGGGATTCTCTGTCTTCCTCTCTCTCTGCCCTGTCCCTGTGTGCTCTCTCTCTCTCAAAATAAGTAAATAAACTTAAAAAATATATATGTGTATTTATAGGAAAAAAACATGCAGAGAAAAGCCTCCATCCACCCCTCACCATCCATTCTACCTAATGCCCACCCCCCACTTCACCTCTAAGCTGGAAGGTGGTTTGATTAGTTTCTTGTCTATCCTTGACTTTCTTTGTGCAAATACAAATATTTCTACGTATTTTCCTTTTAAATAAAAACGTAGCAGATAATACACATGACCTTGCGTTTTACCACTTAATTGTATTTTGAGGTTTTTCCAAATTAGCACATTGGAAGTTTCCTCATTCTTTGCAAGGGCTGTAAAGTATCCCATTGTATAGATGTACCATAATGTATTTAACCAATCCTCTGCTGGTGGACATTTGGGTTGTTTCCAGTTTTTTGCTAGTACAAACGATGCTGCAATGAACATCCATGTCCTGTACATACTTTCTCATGTAGGAAATTTCACAGAAATATTATTACTAGATGAAAAGGACTTTGCATTTGTAAATTTGATTATTACTGACAAGTTGCCCTCCTTTGGACTTGTACCAATGTAGTTTTCCGTCAGCACCTTATGAGAGAATCTGCCCCCCCCAGCCTCACCAACACTGTGATATCAAACTTCTGCAATTTTGCCAATGTGATAGGTGAAAAAATCCATCTCATTGTGGTTTAAATTTGCATTTCTCTTATTTTGAGCAACGTTTCATAACAAAAAAGCCATTTAAGATCTATTTACATTTCTTTTTCTAGCATATCCTTTAGCTATTTTTTGTTAAGTTGTTGGGCTTACTGATTCCTATTAGCTTTTTGTATTTTGGGAAGAGTATCTATCCTTTTGTCTGTTATCTGAGTTAAAAATGATTTTCCCTGGTTTATCATTTGTCTTTTGATTTTACATAGGTTTCTCACACACACACACACACACACACACACACACACACACATACAGATATATATTTAAATGTTTAGGTTTATTTGAGAGAGAGCAAAAGCATAAGTGGGGGGAGGGGTGCAGAGAGAGAGGGAGAGAGAGAATCCCAAGCAGGCTCTGCACTGTCAGCACAGAGCCCTATGTGGGGCTCAAACTCATGAAACATAAGATCATAACCTGAGCTGAAGTCAGACACTTAACCAAAGTCAAACAGTTAACTGACGTCAGACACTTAACACTTAGCCACCTAGGCTCCCCTCTCTTTTTTTTAAATTGTAAGGTGCTTTTATTTTTCTGTGGTTGGACTTAGCAATTTCTTCTCTTTTGGTTTCTGGATCTTGAACCATAATTAGAAAGCCTGTTCCTACTCTTTCTGATGTTTTCTTTTAATGATTTTATTTTTAAATTATTTAAATTATTACATATATTAAATAAATTACAATTAAGTAAGTAATTAAATACATTAAATAATGAATGTTTTAATTATTTACTTATTATTTAAATCATCTCATTTTAAACATGTATATTTTTAATACATTTGGACATTTTGTGTTATTGTAAGTATTTCTTATAAGTAGCATATAGTCTGCTTGAATTTTGTTTAAAAATTTTTTAATGTTCATTTATTCTTAAGAGAGAGACAGAGAGAGAGAGAGAGAGAGACAGAGAGAGACAGAGTGTGAATGGGGGAGGGGCAGAGAGAGGGGAGGGCAGAATTTGAAGAAGACTCCAGTCTCCAAGCTGTCAGCAGAGAGCCCAAAGTGGGCTTGAACTCAAGAACTACAAGATCATGACCTGAACCAAAGGTGGATGCCCAATTGAGTGAGCCACCCAGGTGCCTTGAATTTTGTTTTAAACATGAGAAAGTGAGAAACTTTGCCTTCAATAGCGTAGCTTAATTTATTTGTGTATATATATTTCATAATTGATGTCTCATTTTACTTTATTTTTGTGCTTCCTTATTGCTTTTTTGTTCTTTGTTATACTTTCTAGGTTTTTCTGGTTTTTATCTTCTATAATGCTTTTGAAAAGTAGAACTCTAATTGGTAATTCTATAAACCTTTAGATTAGTCAAGGAAATATATTTAAATTCACATGTATCCAATTACCAAAGTCAATATAATGTCTCTTATTGAGTATGCGCTAGCCACAGTGCTGGCAGTTTTCCACAAATCTGTACTATTGTCTATATTTTACAGATGGGGAAACAAAGCTCATAATGCCTAAGCAGCTTGCCCAAGGTCACTCAATAATTTTTGATGATGTCTTCTGGATGGTGAGGAATTTAGCAGACTTCAGGCCGTCTGGGCCATCCCTAGAGCTGGAGGGAAGGAAATCGCAGTTAAATAACATTGCTGACAGTGAGGGAGGAGTGAATTCTTCAAAGTAAAACCCCCACAAGGATTTAAAATCCCCACAATGGGGGCGCCTGGGTGGCTCAGTGGGTTAAGTGTTTTGGCTCAAGTTGATCTCCTGTTTTGTCAGATGGAGCCTCTGTGCTGTCAGCACAGAGATTCTCTCTCTCTCTCTCTCTCTCTCTGCCCCTCCCTACCCTTCGTGGATGTGCACTCTCTCTCAAAATAAATAAATATTTAAAAAGACATCATTAAAAAAATAGGGTACTTGGGTGACTCAGTTGGTTAAGTGTCTGACTCTTGACTTCCCCTCAGATCATGATCTCACGGTTCTTGAGTTCAAGCTCCGGGCTGGCAGTGCAGAACCTACTTGGGATTCTTTCTGTCTCTCTCTCCCACTCTCTCTGTCTTTCAAACTAAACTAAAAGAAACTATAAAATAAAATATTTTAATAAAATAAAATAAACTATAAAATAAAATCCCCACAATAGCTTTCACAAGAGCCTCTCAATCCTTCAATATTAAAGTCTTGGATTTTCCCCAATTTGACAAGTGAAAAGTCATATCTTGTTATAGTTTTGGTCTGCATTTCTCTTAGGAGTGAAAAAAACATCTTTTCCGATGCTTGAGAGCCATTCGCATTGCCATTGCTATGAACTACCTATTCCTTTCCCCCTTGGGAGGCATCCAGCAAACACCCACTGTATCAAAGCCTCTTGGAGTATGTGTTTGTTTTGAGAATACCAAACAGATGATTTTTGGAGTTTTATTCTGTTTCTTATAAAAAATCATTTCAGAGATGATACACTCTTCATCTGAATCTTCAGGACAATTTTCATCCTCCTTGTGGGTAGGATCTTCTCATAGGCACCATATTGATTATTTTTGTTCACTCCCTTGACCAGGCAGAAATAAAGGCAGGCCAGGAACCACCTCCTTACCCTCTCAACTTTATGAGGCATTGCTTAATAATGGTAGAAGACTCAATCCCACCATTAGGCAGACAGTGTAGACACAGAAAAAGAAAAGTTGGTGGGATAGCTTAAGGAAATAACATCACCATCCTCCTCAATATTAGCTGGCATATAAACAGCAATGCAAAATATACATATATAGTTTCATATAGATATTCACATATAAAAAATATATACTATATAGTATATATAGAATAGTTATAGTATATGTGTAAATTTCATATATGTATGTATGTGTGCACTAATTTTTTTTTTCTGAGAGAGAGAGAGAAAGACAGTGTGAGCAGGGGAGGGGCAGAGAGAGAGAGGGAGACACAGAATCTGAAGCAGGCCCCAGGCTCTGAGCTGTCAGCACAGAGCCCGACGTGGGGCTCGAACCCACAAACTGTGAGTTCATGACCTAAGCCAAAGTCAGTCGCTTAACCGACTGAGCCACCCAGGCGCCCCATGTGTGCACTAAATTTACACACACGTAAATTTAGTTGTCACGACAACCCTCTAATGTTGGTACTATTACTATCCCCATTTTATAGATGATAAAGGTGAGGCACAGAGAAGTTAGATTACTTGCCTAAGCTCACACAGCTAATAACTGGTGGAGTCAGGACCCTAACCAGGTCTTTTGCCCCAGAATCCATGCCCTCAGCCAATTGGCTTGGAAAATGTCCTGTGTTGGTGGCGTATGACCAGAGATCCATCTAGTCAGTGGGTCCCTGACAGAAAAGTAGACAGTGGGGATTAGTTCATTTTATTGACTTTGGAAACCATTGGTGCTTCGTTCATTAATTCATTTAATCCTCTGATTCACTCATCCAGCAAATATATACTGAGTGCCTACTATGTGCCAAGTTCTGAACCAGGTGCCAGAGACACCAAGACAAATTAGATATGGTCCTTGTTTTTAAGGAGCTTGCAGTAAAGAAGGGAGAAGGACATGGTCAGTTAATGACACAGCGTGACACACACTGTTCTATTTCAGAGGGAGGAGCAGGGGTGTGTCATCCAAGAATGTGTTTCTCAATTTGTCCCCATTTGCCATCTAGTTAGTGTCATTTCTTCCTGTACTTTGCC